AGGTTAATCTTTTGTGCATTTTCTTCCCCACATTTGTTAATTTGTAATTATTTTATTCTACATTTCCAAATTTACATACAAATAGATGATCCTTTGGGACACAGGTGACTTATGTACATATTTTTGGAGTAGTTTCCTTTCTATAACCATAAATATCAATGTAGAGCACTGCATGTATTTGTAGGAGTTACAAAAACACCACAGGGGACAGAGAAAAATAATCTTCCAGTAATCTTCCTTTAAGATTTTCTTTTGAACTTGTCTTCTGGGCTAGATGTGGTGATGCATGCCTATAATTCCAGGATTGTGGTTCAAGTACAGTCTGGACAAAAGGGAGAGATCCCATCTGAAAAACAAACTAAAAGCAAAAGGACTGGGGACATGGCTCAAGTGGCAGAGCAAGTTTGGGGCCCTGAGTTTAATCCCCAGTACTGGCAAAATACATACATTACAGTCCATTACATGTAATAGGAGTTTGGGTTTAAAATTTGTTTTTACTTTCCTAAAAAGAATATGCATTCCACTTTTAGCACACACTATTGAAAGACGTCACTGTGTTAATTTAACACCAAATGAGATTGATAAATACTTATAATGGAGTTAAAATGGAAAGCAACACCCACCCCCAGGATTACAGGAGCTGTGAAGATCTATACCGCAGTCCTCACTCTTCTGAACACAATTAACGTAGAAGTATGAAAAGAAAAACTTACCTTCTCTTCCAGCCAGTCTCCTCTTCTTGCCATAGCTCATGTTGGATTATTCTGATCCCCATATTCTCATTTGACACGGCTACTTTCCTGTTTGTGGATATTAACATCATTCTATGATCAAGCAAAAGAAACATTGTGATAGAATGCAAACACGAGTGTCCTAATCTCATTAGTGGCTAAATTGCAAAACTGCTTATTGTGGCTTTTGGCTGGACTATTGATATTTAATAATCAGGAATAAAATATTTGTGCAAAAATAAATTGTGTCTGGTTTAGTATGCTCTATTGCAGTTAGTTAGATATGTGTCTGCTTCCCCAGGAAGGTGCTGAGGTCTTTGTAAGCACAGACCAAGTGTTCAATAAACACGTTAAAGTGAAGTAAATGTGTGCTGTTCTGTCATTCTTCACACAATCACAGAAGTTGCTTTTACACAAGACTTTTTTTTTAACCATTTAAAACTACAATAAATTAAGCTGGGTGCCAGTGGTTCATTCCCTGTAATCCTAGCTACTTGGTGACTAAGATTGGGAGGATCGAGGTTCAGGATAGCCTGTGCAAATAGTTCATGAGACCCATCTCCAAAATAGTGAGAGGAAAATGGACTGGAGGTGTGGCTCAAGTGGTAGAGTGCCTGCTTTGAAGTGCAGAGTCCTGAGTTCAAACCCCATCCCACATATATGAGCAATTATTGGTGAACTATTCCTTATAAAAACATATGAGCAATTATTGGTGAACTATTCCTTATAAAAACAAGGCTTACTCCAGGAAATGGCAGAGTTGTAGGCAGAGTCTCACCATTGTGGAGTTGTACTCAAGTACCAGTGTCTGGTTTTTTTCCCTTTGCACCACCTTTTTCTCTGGGGTCAAGGCCTCCACAAAAGGGATGCTTCTCAGCTTTGGGGCCTTGGACATGGAAAGGCATCCACATAGGACTTGTAGCCATGAGCTTGCTGAGTGTCAGGACAGGAGCACGCATCCTTCAGCTGCACACAACTGGTAGCTGTTTATGGCAGCTGGTTCTTCACACTAACTCAAGTTTCAAACCGGTAGTGCTACTGGCAATTGGGGGAAGCGGTCTTTATGGTATGTGACCATTTAGCACCCATGATTGGCAGACACCAAATGCAAATAATTGCCTCATGGACTGGTGGAATGGCTCAGGTGGTGGAGCACCTGCCTAGTAAGCATGAGGCCCTGAGTTCAAACCCCAGTGACACCAAAAAAAATTCAATCCCCTCCAAAGCCCAAAGAATAAAACCAGAAACATTGCCTCACCTATGCCTTATCATTTTGACAACCAAAACTTTTAAAAAAATTTTTATTTTATTCATATGTGCATACAATGTTTGGGTCATTTCTCCCCCCTTCCCCCTCCCTTCCCCCCTCCTCCTCCCTTCCCCCCTGCCCCTCCCTTACAACCCCCACCCTCTCCCTTACTCCCCCACCCACTCCCTCTCCTCCCCAACCCCTCGCTACCTGGCAGAAACTATTTTGCTCTTATCTCTAACTTTGTTGAAGAGAGAGTATAAGCCATAATAGGAAGGAACAAGGGTTTTTGCTGGTTGAGATAAGGATAGCTATACAGGGAGTTGACTCACATTGATTTCCTGTACATGTGTGTTACCTTCTAAGTTAATTCTTCTTGAACTAACCTTTTCTCTAGTTCCACAACCAAAACTTCTGTACACACATTTCTTAAGCCCATGAGGAAGAGAACTATTGCTAGGAAAATAAAATTTGTAGTGTTTCCTTGAATGGAAGTAAATGTTCTGCAAGCATCGAGGCTTTTGAGGAGTTCGTCGTACTTCTATATAGGTTCTTGGTGGCCTCTCAACACTGACTCTTCAATGAGAGCCCCATTCCCAGGACATGGCCTTGTGTCCTATGCCCCACATCTAGTGTGGTCAAGAACTGTTGACTGTGTGAGGTTCTAGTTTACTTGCAAGCTACACACTAGCCTTCTACATCTTCATTGATCCTGGCAAACAGTGAGACTTCTGGGTCTGTGACGATTTCTGTCTCAGGTGTGCAGCACAAGTTTAACTCATGTGGATTTGCCTTATCCCCCATGGATTGAAGGAGAAATGTGAATGTGGGCACAGAGGTAAGCTGAAAATAAGTGCATTTGTGTCAAAGCTGAGGAACTATAAACTTAACAGACTCCTGTCTTATAATAGGACTGCTAGCAAACTCACTCAACTTTTGTCCCAGAAGGACACATTATCTTTATTATACTGTTCAGAAAACAAATCTTCTCCCTGTAGCAGAAGCACACAATATCTATACTTTCAAGGATGTCCGCTTTATAAAGATAAAGCCCAGTAAAAGGCTACTATGAGCTTTTGCAGAAAACTAAAAGGCCCATGGAAATATGGTCTCCTCTAAAGCATCACAGCCCCTTTTGCTCCTCCCTTGACAAGAAAAACTACGAATCTCTTTCTGAACTCTTTTAATTCTATTGTCATAGCATACATTCAATGTTCTGCTTCCTTCAGATTTTCTTTTTCAATTCTCAAAAATCAGTCTGAAGGACCAAAATGTTTCTTCCTGCTTTTTTTATTTATTACCGCTATAACAATTTTGCTTCATCTCAAGGTAATGTGGATACCTCTGACTCACCAAGGGACAAATCACTACAAGAAATGGAGAAAAAAATTAAAATTTCAAGATAATCTGCTATATTCTGACCTCTAAAAGAACTTTCATGTCATCAAGATGCCTTTAGGAGATTGACAGTCCTCCCACCCTTGTTCATTGCTTTCTCTTGAACATGAATCTGTATCTCCAGACTTGCTATTTCTATATTCCAGGAAGCCATCAAGAAAATAAACTAGCCTAATCCATTTGGACCTTAGAAACGTGTTCTCCTTCCAGGCAACCATCCTCCTCACTTTGATTCTTTTCTTTTCCCCTATGAGAGTTAGGACTGGACACTCTTGACTTCTTAGATGAAGTTTCTCAACTACCTAGAAAACTTAAGGAGAGAATTCCTACAAGTGATTTCTGTGGATTACCTTGACACACCCCTTCCACATTTTAAACATGGGTAGGATGCTAAGGATCTTCCTCTTGATAAACGGGGTGACTGCTAGCTATGAGACACTTTTCTCTCACCTGGCAGTTCTGGTATTGCGGGTCTGGCTCATTCTGCCATCCTGTTGATGCTTACCTTCAGCTGGATTGTCATAAAGATGGCCAGATGATAGCCTTCTGTAACTTGTCTCTAAGTTTAGTTACATACTGAACTCAACTAACTTGCCCAAATTCCAAATCACTTTCAGTTCTACCCAATTTGAGCCACAAATGTTTTGAGTACATATTACTAGGCTAGAGTTTATAATGAAACATCAGCCAGTACTATTCTCAAGATGTTTATAGGTAGTGTCTCTAGAATAGGACAAGAAAGGAAATAGTTATAATACAAGATAAAATGTAAACTAAAGGAGTGTATAGCTGAAAAGTAGTTCCATTGAAGAGATACTGTCATCATAATTCCAAAAATGGGATTTGAATTCAGAGACCAGAGTTCAAATCCTGGTTCTGGGGCTGGAGGAGTAGTTCAGTGGTAGAGTGGGTGTTTAACATGCCTGAGGCCCTATGTTCTACTCCTAGCACCAAAAATGAAAATAATTACTTGCAGTGATTATTACTTACTGTCCTTATCAGATATGGGACTGTGGCTAGTAATAACAATTTCTACTTCTAAGGATTATTCTGAAAGCATTATGTAATATGTGTAAGACAGTATATGGCCTACTTGGGCAACACTGTATGACTGACTACACATCAAGTGCTTGATTTTTCTAATACCTTACTTAGAAACAGAAGAAAACTTGGTGGGAGTTACAGGTATAACCTGAAGTCCAGGAGAACATATTTACAGACTGAGAAGGAGTCTGGGAAAAGGAAAAGTTTAAGGATTTGTGGAAAATGGGAAAACTCAGAGCAGCAGGAGAGAACAAGAAAGTGAAACAGCCACGTGGCAGAGCAAATGGTTAAATTAGAGGGAAAAAAATCATTACAGCAATGACCAAGATAATCTAAAGAACATTCAGAAACGGCAACTGATTGGGAGTGAGAAAGAAACAAGAAATTTCATGAAGAATTTATGGAAATTACCTAGATTTAAAAAGTCTTCGAGGGGATGGGTGAGGGGGGAGTGAGAGCCCGCAGCCCTTGGAAGGAAGCCCCAGGCTTGGCGCTCGCGGAACCCGAGCTCCACGGCTGCGGTTGCAGGACGGGCGGCTTTTCTGGGAGGACGCCGCGCCCCGTTTTTCGGCGTCCCCGGGCGCCGCGGAGAGTGTGGGAATTGCTGCTCTTCCGGTTCTCTGTCCTAGTGCCTGGCGGCTGCACAGTTGCTTCTGCAGCCATGTCGGGGTTCAGTCCGGAGCTCATCGACTACCTGGAAGGGAAAATCTCCTTTGAAGAGTTCGAAAGGCGGAGAGAAGAGAGGAAAACTCGTGAGAAGAAAGTGAGATGCTAGGCCTGGCGCTCTTCACTACTGTCGCTCTAAAACACTTGGAGAGGGCGGGGGGACCCAGATGACCCCTTCGTTGTGATAGGGTGGGCGGGAAGCTCGCCCACCTTCTTCCTCTTCTTATCGAAACTCTGGTTGTCAGAGCCTCAAAACATTTCCCTACCATAACCCTTTGTCCTTCCCCACCCCAATAGTCATTTTATTTGAGGGTCGCTTAATGCTGGGAGGCTCAGTGGGAGTTGGGGAAAACAGGTTGGGATCAGAGCCCTCCGACCAGTTTTAATCCCACTTTGTAACCGTGGGTGGCATCTCACCTTTCTTCCTTAGGCCCCAGTTTCTCAGTTTCTAAACCGGAGGGTTGAGCTGTATCCCCAGTCCCATATTTCAATAGTATCCCACTGGTGCTGATTTAATCTTCCACCAAAGGGGGGGAGGGGTTTGAACTAATTGCCTAATAACAAGGAAATCTTTATATCTTATTTTTCATATTTATTAAGAAATATCCAAACACTTCTTGTATCCTCACTTGTATGCAATCTAAAGGAAAATAAAAGTAATTGAGCCTTTTGAAGTTTTACCGATTCATGCGACTATTCAGTGCCCTGTGTCTTTGTTTAAAGTGTTAGATTAATGAAATCAAAATACTGTTAAATTTTGTAACAAATGACTTATTCACACAAGAAGGTAAGGCCTCAGTACTTTGGAATTTTGACAATATTTAAATACTGTCATATATTCATTGTGAAATTTAGATTCTACATACCATGTATGTGTGGAGGCTCAAGTTTTATTAATAGAAAATAAGGCAGATGTCCTATTCTCAACTGGAGAGAACTAAATCTGCATTTTTTTTTATTTAATTAAGTTAACCAAGTTTCAATCACAGTGTCTTCAGGAAAAAGGAAAATTATCAACTGAAGAGACCCGAGATAATTCTGAAGTTCCATCATCATCAGGAATCAGTTCTACCAAATCCCAGGAAAAAGACAGCAATGAAGGTATGCTGAGATCATTTGCTACCTGCATTAAATTTTGAGCACCTGAGTAAAGTAATTTAGTGTAAACTTTTTTCATTGCAATGATATTCTGTTGTTATTACCTGATTTATCAGGAGTATAGTGCTTGGTATATAGCAGCTGCTTAATAAATACTTTCAAGCTTTGTTTATGATGATGATGGTTATTGGGGGAGTTTCAGTGATAGAAAAGTATTTCAAATTAATGTTTGTTTGAGGGCCTTTTTAGGGTCATTAATTTTTAAATCGGCCCTTTCAACTTCAGACTACCTCCAGGTTGTACTCCTCCAAATTGTACATCTATACAAACTGGCCTCCACATATGAGACTGGAAGGCCAGTTGACCTTTCCTGCTCAGATGGTACTTCACACACAGCATAGGTGTTTTGGTATGCTACCTCATTCTAGGATACAGTCCTTAGCTTTACATATCCAGATATATGCAGATAATAAGTTTGGTTAGTGCATATAGACTAATATAACTCAAATTTCTTAATCTCAGGTGATTGGTGTACTTTTCTACTGATCAGAATACTGATAACAGCTCATGGTATCTATTTGCCCATGTCAAGTTTCTTGGGGTGCTGAACTGTCAGTTAGAATGTAGCTTCTCATATGGGGCCTGATTGGAGAGTTGAACTAAACTCTAGTTTTGGGTGGTAGTAGTAGAGACCCTTTTTCTCTCTGAGCAAATAATCCATAGAAGCCTTTATACAGAAAACAAGCTTTATTCCTACCTGCCTGGGCCCCATTGGGAAGAAAGGACAAAGAAGAGAGAGAATTGGGGTATAGTTGCTTAGTTTACCAGGCAAGTAGGGTGGGAACGAGGGCCAAAGTGCTCTGACAACCTAGGGTCCTTCCTTCTCTGTTCAGGGGAGGAGCAGCTCTTCCGTATTCAGTATTGGAGGTGCAATTATAGTTCCACAGCTATATAGCTCCACTGGGTGGCTGTCAACCTTACTGCCTAAGAACTTGATGTCGACATCAGGCCTTTCCTTAAAAAAAAAAAAAAAAAATTTAACTGAGTCCATTTCTGGCTCATCATGAGCAGTCAGGCACATAAGAACTGTCTGGAGTCAGCCAGAATAATCTCATCAGTCCTTTGAAGATACGAAGCTCCCTATTTCCTAGGAAGAATTGTCCCAGAACCCTGCTAAGACTCCTGGTGAGTGTAAGCATGTATGCAGAGCAGAATGGGTTGGTTTTGGTTTTGAACAAACTTTGGCAAAACCTAATTGGAATATATGATCTGTAGACTCATTTTCTCCTGGACATTGCTGAATACCACTGCTAAACTTTTGCTCTTAATCCCCTTTCCTACACACCATGCAGATAGGCTCTTTTCATTTCACTTGCAATTCATTCTTGCTGATTTGTAAAACTACAGTTATTTTTTATGTATCAACAGTGTATCTAACACCTTGCTAACTTCATGTATTCAGACAGTTTGTATGTAGATTCTTTTGGATCTTCTACAATGTGATTGTCATGTATGAGTAAGGATAATTTTATTTCTTACTTGCCATATAAAGATGTCATCTCGCGATACCTTTATTTTTATTACTCTGTTGCATGGACTAGGATCTTCAGTAACATGTTGCTGGAATATGTATCTTTTAAAAACCTGTTCTTCCTTAAGCATTGAGTAGATTATTTATCAAGTACAGTAGATCCTTGGTGTCCAAAGTAGATGGTTCCAAGGAAACCTCATTTGAGGAAAAATTGAGACTGCTCAGGATGCAGAGTTCATTACTAAAAGTGCTTGATTCATTTTTACACTGCCCAACTTTTCCTAAAGACATGTCATTTTTCAACAAATCAAAATTTTTCACTTTATCACTTAAATTAAGCACATTAACTTTTTCTTTACTTCTCAGGCATCATTTGCTTTTGGGGAGGCATATTTTCACAAAATTAAGGAAAAGGTAACACTCAGCAAATCACACTGTTTTAAACACAACTGACAATAACATGGGCTGACTGAGAAGTTTATATCAACTGAGCGTGTAATACATGTAGGAATTAAAATTTTTTGTTTTTGAAATTTCATTTTATTAATGTTATTTGACTGTGTTTGGTCAAAACTGTGTACAATTAATCTGCAAATAAGGCAGGTTTATTGTATCTTTGGGGTTTGAAATATTTCACATGTGAATACACTTAAGGGTTTTTGAACACAAATACATATATTTATAATATTTAAATTTTTAACTGTTTTTTTTAGTCTTTTCTAAAAATGTGCTTTATTTTAGAAAAGAAAATTGGCTCCTGAACTTAGCCTTTAAAAATTTTTAATACTAGGGGCAGGGCATAGTGGCACACATCTGTAATCCCAGCTACTTGGGTGATGAAGATTGGGAGGATCATAGTTTGAGGCCAGCCTTGGCAAAAAGTTAGTGAGACTTCCCATCTCAACAAATAAACTGGTTGTTGTGTTGCACGTGTCATCCCAGCCACATAGAAGGCTATAGGTAGAAGGATCACACGCTGAGGCTTGGCCCTAGACAAAACTGTGAGACCCTATCTGAAAAATAATTAAAAGTAGAAAAGAGCTGTGGGTGTGGCTCAAGTGATAGAACAAGTGCCTAGCAAGTGCAGGACCCTGAGTTGAAATCTCAGTGCTGCCAAAAATAAAAAACATTTTTAAAAAGTAAACAAAATAAAAACCAAAACCAGTAGTAGTATTCAGTAAGCTTATACTCATGGGGAATTATTTTAAATACATAGAGAGAATGTAATATTTCCCCATGGTCATAGAGCCAGTGATAGGTGGAGATCAAGTTTGAAACCAGAAACAGGGCTCTAGAGCCCTGACCTTTACAAACTATGCTGTATCACCTGGGTTCTGTCCTACCAGGCTTGCTTCGTTCGCGTAGGTCTATGTCTTACGGTTAAAATTTTTCTTTTTTCTTTCTCCGCTTTTTAAAGAGTTTTAAACTCTTCTGATTTTCCTCCTAATTTTGCCTATATGTCTGGATGAGGCCTAAAGGTTGAGTCAACCATTCTGACAGAGTAAAAACATGGCTTTGTGACAGCTTTCTTTTATGTTTTGGGAGGTGTTCATTTACTATTTTTTACTTTCAAGTTTATGTTGTTCACATTCCAAAAAAACTAGACAGCACTTTTTTCTTTTGAGCACTGAGTGTTCTAAAGTTTTTTTTTCCCAACCTCAATGTGTCTTTCCTCAGGAGAAACGTCAGATGGAGTGAGTAAGTCAGTTCACAAGGTCTTTGCTTCCATGCTTGGAGAGACTGAAGATGACGAGGAGGAAGAGGAAGAAGAAGAAGAGGAGGAGGAAACACCTGAGCAACCCACTGCAGGCGACGTATTTGTGTTAGAGATGGTTCTTAATCGTGAAACCAAAAAGATGATGAAAGTAAATTTTTACTTATTTTGATATTTATAAACAGAGTGTAAGGCAGTTGACATAATCACTGAAAAGCAAGCTTTAAGTTGTACTTGGGGAAAATTCAAACAATAAGAAAGAAAACACTGTGAGATAGCTGCTGTCATTCATTTCTTACGTTCCTTTTAGAGAGTTTGTATGTAGTTTTGCTATTGAAAGGCCCATAAAATAACTCAGTACTTTTTTAGGTTCATTCTAAGTAGATAAACTTGAAAGAAGAAACTTCAATAGTAGAGAATATTTTTAGTTTTCTGGTATGTAATCCTTACAACATAATAATTTGTTATACTAACTAGTATCCTGGTCACTTGATTTTTGCTCTGATTATATATTTTACTGTGTTTTGAACTTTCTATGTGAGGGTATTTTTTGTTACTGTGTTTACTTTCTTAGGTGCTCCTTTTTGGGGTATTACAGAATAAGTCTATTATTTCCTATATTTGAGTTTTAGATTTCTTATTTTCCTCCAATTAGACTTTAATGTTAAGTTAGAGTTGCAACTATTTAGTACTCAGAATTTCAAAGGGTAAAAAATTTAAGGGGAAATTTTAGTTTCTTTATGCTGTGTATTAATATGATTGGAATTGAAATCTCAGGTTTTCTATATTTTAAGCTATGTGTCATTTTTCTGCTAAATAGGAGAAAAGGCCTCGAAGTAAACTTCCCAGAGCTCTGAGAGGCCTCATGGGTGAAGCCAATATTCGTTTTGCTCGAGGAGAACGTGAAGAGGCAATACTAATGTGCATGGAGATCATAAGACAAGGTGCTTCCTCTGGGGTCTTTCTTGATAATAATTTAATAGTGTGGCTTTTAAACATGGGAAAGTGCTTCATTGTACTTTTTGCTTGTGGTAACTAATCTGCCACCTTTCACATTGAATAGGAGTCACTGCTCAGAAAATGAGAACCATAGAGTATGATTCAGTAAAATATCATTAATATTTTTGTACACTTATGGGATCCTTTTTTTGCTTTTGTTTTTTAACCTTTCATTTTTATGAGTTTTAGACTTTTATACTGTTAATCTTTTCTATTTCTTTCTTCTTTTTTTTTTTTTTTTTTGTCTTTACTTATTTGTTGTGGTACTGGGAATTGAGCAGGCTTTTTGCATAATAGGTAAGCACTCTGTCAACTGAGCTACAACCTCAGCCTTGTGAGTCTTTTTTAAGATTGCAAGCATATTATGTTAAAACCACTTGAAGAGTATTCTTTTTTTTCCAGATCTGGTAGTGCTCAATTTTTAAAATTTTATTTTTAGTAAGGATACATTTAAATTTGTCATTTTATCTCTCAGTTAAATGACACATCTTTACCACATTGAAGGACATCTTCAAAAGTGATTTTTTTTGACTAATCATTTGTATTATTTTGCTTTCCTGATTATTGTCAATTGATGCCCTGTAGAGCAGCTTGGGTAGCTGTAATTCAGAGAACTTTATCCTTTCAATATTTTGGCATTTCCTTTTAGTTAGATTAGAATCCTTTTAGAAGTCTTGTTATAATTTATGGAATTATTAATTCAGGTTATTTGTGGTTACTAATTTTTTGAGACAGGGTCTCACTACGTAGCCCTGGCTGGCCTTAAACTCTCAATCTTCCTGCCTCTGCTTCCAAAATGCTGGGATTACAGGTATGTACCACCACTCCTGACTCTACATTGTTTTTTTCCCTCTATTCCATTAGACATAAAATTAATCAGTTTCTTTTTTTTTCCCCAGGATATTTCGTTTCGTATTTTAATTTAACAGTGACTTTTGACTTTATTCACTTTTAATTTTATTTCAGAAACAGCATTTCAGAAATGCAGATTAACCACTCAGTTTAGTATCCTGGTTTTAGATGCTGCTGAGGTATCCTTTCTATCATCCTATTCTGCCTTATGTGGAAGCTGGATCATGAAAATTCAATCTGACTGATGTGGCTAATGTTTACTGGGGTGAACTTGCCAAGTTATTGAGCCATATTTAGCCTTAGTGAAGAAGGGTTTTCACAAGCAAGGTGTGGTAGAGAGGAAGAAATTTTCATGAAATTTTATTTTGTTTAAAAAAAAAAGCTTTAAAAATGGTAAAAACGAGGCTGAATATTGTGAAACATACCTGTAATCTCAGGTTGAGGCAGGAGGATCACAAGTTTGAGGCCATTCTGGACTATGTAGATTGTGTCTTTAAAAAAGAAAGGTTAAAATTTAAGGAAATAAAAATGAAATAGAGTAAATGTTATCTAGTGTTTTATTTTAAATTCTCTTAAATAGTTTGTATAATTCTAGAGTGATTTAAAGAGGTTAGATATTAGAAAAAGATCCACAATTTGAACCATGGGATTGACATCATCCTAAGTCTCTTCCCTTAGCCAATGGATTTTTAAAATTTTATTTATTATAGCTCCTCTGGCTTATGAGCCGTTCTCTACTCTTGCCATGATATATGAGGATCAAGGTGACATGGAGAAATCATTGCAGTTTGAGCTGATTGCTGCACATTTAAATCCCAGTGACACAGAAGAATGGGTTAGACTGGCAGAAATGTCTCTGGAACAGGACAATATTAAGCAGGCTATTTTTTGCTACACAAAAGGTAATTAAAATATTTTTCCCACTTTGATTATATGTTACATAATAGGTTGTTTGTAATGGCACTTGATCTTCTAAATTGTGGTGTTGCTTCAGTGTATTTGATCTTACAAATTTGATTATTAAGTCTGGTAATAAAATTTGTTTATGAAATTTGGATTTTGGGCTCCATCTAATTTCATGTTTATTAGTGACTATCTTGTGAGCGAATACAGCACAAATGTTGGTGGATGAGCCATTCTTTGAGTTTCCCACTGAGGTTAGGCTGTTATTTGGAGTTAGTGACAGACTAGAGCGACCAAATGAAGATGATTAATGTGGAGATTCAGGTTGTATTTGGTCTTGGATCAAAACTAGTTGAGAGTTCCTGACAGATTTACTTCATATAGCTTCCTTCTTCCCATTGGAGGATTAAAATATTTATACGTTTTCTAAGAAGGTGATAAGTCACACACAGGTACCATGCAGCTCTTTTTTGATAAATATGTATTTTTTGCTCCTCTCTTTCTTTGTAGCTCTAAAGTATGAACCTACTAATGTCCGTTATCTGTGGGAGCGATCAAGCCTTTATGAACAGATGGGTGATCATAAAATGGCAATGGATGGTTATAGGCGTATTTTAAACCTTTTGTCTCCGTCTGATGGAGAACGTTTTATGCAGTTGGCTAGAGATATGGCAAAGTAAGTTTGGAGTGAAGTATATATATTTTTAGTTCTCATATTTTGCAAAGCATATATTTGAAATAGAATATACTTTTCATTGAGGCTCAAGAAATTTTTTTGTCTTTGATATTTTATATTGTACATAAGTATAGAGGGTTTTTTTATTCAGTACTTTTCTGCTTTCAAGACAACTGTGATGCTCAGGAGATTTTGTATATAAGGTTACATTTCCAAAGCTCAGAAGTTAAAAAATGAAACATGTCTGAAAACTGTTTAAAGGTCCCAGGTTTCCATGACTTTGTTGTGTATATTTGGAGTACTTTTAAAAATAATTTTTTATTGCAGATGTACCAATGAAATATTAGTGATCTGGGATCTTCTATAATCATTTTAAAGTATGCCTACTGCATTTACTTCTCTGATGTGTTGTGTAGTAAACCAAAGCAAGAAACATTTTATCTAAATAATGCCTGTGATCTGCTTTCTATTATAAGGGTATCTGTCATAGTATCTCAGCTTAGAATTAGCCATCTTGATCTGGGTACATCAATTCTGTGACTATTATTCTGGATTTGGTGGACTTGTTGTAGCTGAACCTAAGAAGTCTTCTATATCTGGCTGTTGTGGGGTTTTATTTATTTATTTATTTATTTGTAAAATCAACACAGAACAGATGAAGCAAGTAACCATTGGTAGTCTTAACATCAACACGAGCTTCATTCACAGTCTGCCATTTTCTGACCATGGAACACATTTTGTCATGAGTAGGATTTACAATGGAAATTAGGCTGTTTTGCCCTAGAATCAGGGCTTGTATTTTCTAAATGCAACTTTATCATTCTATAGATCAGCAAGGCTTACTTCAAATACACAACCCTTGAGTCCATGAGATGCAGTTTTGGTATCTTGTGTCTTTGTGACTAGGGTCTCTCTCTCTTCTTTTTGGTGGTGCTTGGGATTGAACCTAGCACTTTATGCAATATAAGTAAGCACTTATCACTGAGCTGTACCTTTAACCTTACAATATTTTTCACATTGAATGTAGTTGTGCTTTCACATCATATTTTCTTAGAAAATGAATTGGCCACTGTCTTCTTGGCTTTCTTTTTGCCACCTTTCATAAAGCATTTTTTTTTTAAACCTTCTAGTGTCTCTCAGCCAGAGTTCAGATTATGTTTTTAAAGAAGAAAGTATTTTCTTCTCTGAGATTTTTAAGAAAACAAAAATCTTATTAATTGTTAGAAGGCCTAATCATGTAACTGAATTTTATAATTAGAATTAAGTAAGTATTTATCTATTTGCCACTTTTTTTTAGGAGTTACTATGAAGCCAATGATAGTACTTCGGCTATTAACATAATTGAAGAAGCTTTCTCAAAACATCAGAGTTTAGTATCCATGGAAGATGTTAACATAGCAGCTGAGCTATATATTTCTAATAAGCAGTATGACAAAGCTTTGGAGGTAGGAATATTTTTTGTTTTTCTCTAATGTTTTGAACATGTTTTTGTGTTCCAAAAATTCATAAAAATTAGCAGTTGCTCATTTTAACTATATTAAATTACATATTTAAAGTCTGTATGGGAATAACAGATTTCTAGATTCTATAATTCTTTATGACATCTAAAATGCAGTGATCATATGATAAAAAAAAATAGTGCCTTTATAGGTGCCATGTGTGTCTTGGTAGCAAGATTCAACAGCAGACTAATTGCTTTGATTTATTTCTTAAGATTCTTTTGGGGAAAGTTTGTTGGTTTGCTGCTGAATTAGTATATATCTTTAGTATTAGTTAAATTGTTTATTATAATGTAAAAATATTATCACAGGATTCCTTATTTTAAAAAGACTTGCTGCTCTTTTTTTTTCCTTTTTGGCAGCACTGGTGTTTGAACTCAGGGCCTTATGTCTGCTAGGCAGGCGCTCTACCATTTGAGCCTCTCCACTAGCTCTTCAGTATTCTTTTTATACTCCAGTTTTATGTTGGAAGGATTATTTGCATTAACTATACAAATCCTTTCTTCTTTCCTGTTCTTTTAGATAATTACAGATTTTTCTGGAATTCTGCTAGAAAAGAAAATGTCAGAAGAAGACATCTCAGAAGAGAATAAAGGTTGCAATTTCCTTTGCATAGGAAAACATACATAATCCTCTTTTGCTCACATCGTGGTATTTTGAGATGGCAGCTAATGCTCTCATAGCAAGTATTTGCAGTTTCCTCAGAGAGTTCGATCTGGTATTGACTTACAAGTAAAATGTTTTGAGTTCCTGTCATTTCTCAATAAGTGCATTTGAACTTGCCATTTCTTGTTGACCCAGGATCTTTTAAAAATTTACTAGTATAGGAAAAAATAATGAATTACTGAATGGCTTATCAAAACTTTTAGATCTATATCAGTTTACTTTTCAAAAAGGATTTAAAATGCTGTACTGCTTTGGAGAAAGTGGTACTTGGGACTGAACCCAAGTGTTGGCTTGCTAGATAAGCATTCATTCTATCACTTGAGCCATGACCTAGACCTTTGCTTTTCGTTTGTTTCTCTAATAGGGTCTCATGCTTTTGCTGGGTGAAAGGGGTAAACACAGCCCTTTTAGGTCTCTTTTATAAAGATGTGAATCCTATTTATCAGGGAAGAACCCTCATGACCTTATCACTTCTTAAAGACCTTCCCTGTTAACACCATCACCTTAGGGGTTAGGGTTCAACATACGAATTTTAGGGGAATATAAGTATTCAGACCACGGTATTTCTAAAAAAAACAAAAGGAGATCAAAGTGATAGCATTTAGTATATAGAACCCATGTATAATATAAGTAGAATTCCATTTTAGTAAAGTCAAAAGGCTCATTAAAATGGCTTCATTGTTTAGTCCTTATTCAGATTGCTGGCCATAGGTACAATATACAGAAGAAATGTGCTGCAGCTAGAGCCTGAGTCATATAGACCTGGTTCTTGTCCTTATGGTCTAGCATGAGTAAATTTCCATGTTAGGTAAATTCTTTCTCATTGATCAAAATAAGTAAGCTGAATTTCTGTTATCAGCTATTATCATGGAGTTCATTAATAAAACAGTCCCTTAATTAAACTTGTCCAAATCCTACTATGACTTGGTAACTTTAGGAAGTACTATAATTTATGATTTCTCTAAAACAGAAGCAATTATTTAATTTTTAAAACAATTTAAAGTTTTGTTCTGCCACTTTTGATAAATTGCTAATGTACTATATGTTAGGATTTTCTGAAATGGAAATTTATGGAATTTACTACACAAAATATGAAACACTTTAAATGTGAATCGAAATAATTTAATCTCTCAGGGTTTCAAAAATCATTGTGTTGTAATGAAGTTTTAAAGAACAACACAGTATTATTTAACCCTTTTATTACCTGTATAGTAAAGACTGAAAAGAGCCTTTTGCATTCAAGAAGAAAAAAATGAGAGGTTTCATATATACTGATCATTTTTGTCTCTTTACTTCTCTGTAGTTTAGATGGAAAGAATGGGAGTTTATGTTTTGGATAATTAGATATTAGGAAAAGAATAGGTAGGGGACGTGAAAACAAAGGGCAGACTAAAGAAGGTTAAAGAACCTAGTAATAGGTGTGGAGGCAGGACTCAAGTGGTGGTGTGCCTGCCTAGCAAGTATGAGGCCTGAGTTCAAACATAGTACTGCAAACAAAGAAACAAAAAATTCAGTAAAGTTGAATGCTAGAATTATAGTTGACTGTGAAATCATTAGCTTTGAGTGAAGTAACTGAGATCTTCTGCAGAAGGTAGAGTCTGCTTCCTGAGCCCCACATTGTAACCTGCATATAGGATCTGCTTCTTGTCTGTTTGATGATTCCCTAGCTGGTGAGAGTGTTACCTGTATCATACCTGACGGTGTGCCAATAGATATCACGGTGAAGTTGATGGTCTGCCTTGTGCATCTCAACATCCTTGAACCACTTAATGTAAGTAATACTAAGATATTTCAGAACAAATCCACAATCTGTTTTCTTTAAATGGCAAGAAATTGTGACTTGATCATAGATTTTCACATTTCTTAATAACAAAGTGGGCTGTAATAAACATCGAATTACTTTTGTATGAATATCTTATAAAAGCTAAAAGTGTTTTGGATTTGGGCTTGGAATAATTTTCTTTTTTTTAATGAGAACAGTCCAAAGATCAGAAATTGAGATTGGGCCTTGACACAATTGGTAATGATTCTCACAGCTGTTCTTTCTTTCTAACTTTGTCCAAGCATTTGATTGAACAAAAAAATGTATCGGGCCAGGTGTGGTATATTGGGAGGCAGAGGCAGGAGGATCATGATTTAGAGGCCAGCTTGGGCTGCATAGTGATTTCTAAGCCAGCCTCAGCTATCTATCTCTAGATAGATCTATATCTATAGATCTCTAGTGAGATCTGTTAAAAAAAAAGAATCTATTTGTTGACTCTTGGGATAAGGTATTGAGTAAAACATATAAGTTCCTATATTCATGGATCTTTTGTTCTAATGGGATTAGATAAATAAAATAAATTTATAAAACATATAGGATATTAATTGCTGATGAGTGTTCAAGAGAAAAACAAGGAAGAAAGACAGAATATTGGGGGTGGGGGAAAGTTGCAGTGTTTTCAGAAGGGGAGTCCAGAAAGGCCTCCCTTAAAAACGCGACATTTGAATAACCACTGAAGGAGGTGAGAAAGTAAACCATGGAGCCCTCTAGGCATGGGCACGTTTACTGTTTGGCTAGTTAGAGAACATGCACAAAAGAGCAGAGTGCTCTTAGTTTCTGCCTTTTAACAGAGCCACACACTATGTGTTGAATGAGTGAATGGTAGAAATATGAGTTCCTTTTATAGAGATACAGAAATGAATAGAATGATCATTTGAGCTATTTTTATTTCACCTTGCTCCTTTTCAGCCTACCTCATATAATTGATATATATGTTAAAATGAGAGCTACTGAAATGGGGGCATGACTTAAGTGATAGAGTGTGCAAGGTCCTGGGTTCAATTTCCAGCACCAGTGTTTGACTTCAGGCTTTTACTTGGGGTCTAGCCTCTCTTGACAACGCTGGTGGAACAGAATCCTGAAGACATGGGAGACCTCTATCTCGATGTGGCTGAAGCATTTTTGGATGTCGGTGAATATAATTCTGCACTTCCCCTCCTCAGTGCGCTCGTTTGCTCTGAAAGATACAACCTTGCAGTGGTTTGGCTTCGGCATGCAGGTAATACTTATTTGTGAGAAGGAAAAGTCTTAGTCATACAAGCAGGCATGATAATAACAAGTGTAAAGTATTAGTGTCTTAATGCAGGGATTTCTGATTTCAGGACAGTTTTTTAAAGATCAGTATTTCAAATTGTCTTGCTAGACTCTTAAGTGATTTCCCCTCACTAATGCTTTGGAGGAATAACTTACCTAGTGGTAACTGTGAAGAAGGACTATCATGTCCCTTAAATGCCTGTCTTTTACCTGTATTTATCATACACTTGGTTTCTAGTAATGTATTATGTAAGAGTTAGGGCAATTCTAATTTAAAGAGTTTTTACAGATTTATATTTAATATGTTATTTTGATAACGTATTAATTTAGCATAATTATCAGTGCTCTTGGAGTCACACATGCTCAAGATTAGATTTTTAACAATTATTTTATTTCACTGTGCATATGTCCACAGTAATCTGAAAATAAATCATTTAGAGTGGAAAAATAGTTTTAAGTGTACAACCAAATCTCTTAGAAAAATATTGACTCAACATAAAAATGCATTCAGAATGGAATAGTTTTAGTTTAAAATACGCATGATGGCAGAAAGTTCTACTAGCTCTGAAATACCACATGAGAGTAGCTCACTCACATCACAAATAGGAGCTAGGAGAGTGAACACTTAATAATTAAATTAAGGTAATAATACTTTTCTGTGTAGATGAATGAACATGAATATAAATGTAGTACTGTCATAAAAAGTTGCCTTTGTGGAATTTTAATTTTAAAAGAGTGAACAGAGAGTTTGAGTTTTTATGGCCTTTCTAAGGCTGTGATACTGAAATTGCTTCCATCTTACTATTAATAGTAGATACTTTACAAATACTATTTAAATACTATTTAATCTTGATTCTTGTAATTGCTATTTCCATTTTGAGTCCATATAGCTTAGGATGAGTGGAAGTAAAACCTCAGTCACCTAAAAATCAACAGAGATCATAAGAAAAATTAAATGCTTGTGATACAATATAAAATATCTTTAAATGTGAAAAATAAAAAAATACAAGAAGTGCCATTGGGATGGTTCATCAATAGTAATATTCTAATTTATTTTTAATATTTAAAGATGAGGGTCAGGAGAGGTTTAAGAAAGCAATTGGAGGGCTGGAGGCATGGCTGAAGTGGTAGAGCACCTGTCTAGCAAGCACAAGGCCTTGAGCTCACATCCCAGTACCACACACACACACACACACACACACACACACACACACACACACACACACAAATTAGTTAACTAATTAATTCATGAAGCAATTGGAATTAAAATATTACTATTTAGGAGATCATTGTGGTGAAAAAGGAAAGTGATGAAAAGGGCCTAGATTAGTGTTGTAGCTGTTAGGATGGAAAAAAATGCTTACAGGGACTCATTTTTGAGTTCAGATGATAAGCACTTGCTCTTTGGGCATCAAGTTTGAGAAGTAGAGTGCACTAATCTTACTTTGAGAACTGAACTTGAGGAACTAAGTGGCAGGAGGTAGTTGATATGGTGGTGGTGATGGGCAGGGATGTCACAAAACCCTGGAGCCTGGCAGGTAGCAAAACTGAGTGAAGTGGGAGGAGTGGGAAGGGCTGAGAGTTGGAGAGTGCTGCCTAAAGGGCTGCTTCTCAGCATGGGCTTGGGTGCCACACGGAACAGGAGACTCACTGTTGTCAAAACCAAGTTTTTCAAAAGAGGGCAGAACCCTACATTTTATAAAAAATCCTAATTTTTTAAAACATAGGCAGTTAAGAGTGTATTAAACCACTGTGCCCTAAAAAAATCTTTGGATTAAATTGATCTGCCAGTGGTGAACTCTGGCTTTATGTACATAAAGATGTTCATTGTGGTATTAGAGTAAAAATTTAGAAGCAACCTAAATGTTAGTATTGGTAGGTAATTAGTTTGATTATTACATAACCATTCCAAGTGCCAGTGAAGGCATGGGATTAAAACATAGCACTAAGTGAATAAAGCAAAACACTAGATTGAATATATACACTAATTATATCCTTGTAGCAATTTGAATTTAGACAGAGATTGATAGATCAGTCAAAGATTAGAAGGGATAGTTGCTTTCAAGTATTAAAAAATATGCATTCACTATTTTGAAACAATATTGCTATATTATTTCCTCAAAAATGGAAAAGTGTAGTCAGGCATGATGGCATGTGCTTGTAGTATCAGCATTTGGGAGATTGAGGCAGGAGGATGGAGAGTTCAGTGCCCTCCTAGGCTACATAGCAAGGTCTGGGCCAGCCTGGGTACATAGTGAGACCCTGTCAGATAGATAGATAGAAAAATTTTGGCTAGTTTACAAATCTGTAATTCAATTTATGCTTCATTTTAACCTCATCTTAGAGTGTCTAAAGGCCTTAGGCTACATGGAACGTGCTGCTGAAAGCTATGGTAAAGTGGTTGATCTGGCCCCACTCCACTTGGATGCAAGAATTTCACTTTCCACCCTTCAGCAGCAGCTGGGCCGTCCTGAGAAAGCCCTGGAAGCTCTGGAACCAATGTATGATCCAGATACTTTAGCACAGGATGCAAATGCTGCACAGCAGGTAGGCCATGTAACATAAAACTTTTTCTTAGTACATTGTATTTCATACACATATTTTGGTGGTACTGTGGTTTGAACTCAGGGCCTTGCATATGCTAGGAAGGCTCTACCAGTTGAGCCACTCCTCCAGCCCTTGGTGCATGCATTATATTTTAGAATTTTCTCCTCACTTAGAGACAAAGTTTTATTTTAGTATATTAAATTCAGTGCTTTTGGAAAATGATTTTCAGTCTTTAATGTCAGCCAGTTTAAATTAAGACTGCTAAAATATTGGATCTTAATTATCGTGAAAGATAAGGCAAAAGTAAGTTCTTTCTAAAACAAACTTTGCTATGCAAATAAAACAGGTTATACAAAGAAATCTTGTCATACTCATTGTCATGTGCTTTTTTATGTAGGAACTGAAGTTGCTGCTTCATCGTTCCACTCTATTGTTTTCACAAGGCAAAATGTATGGTTATATGGATACCTTACTAACCATGCTAGCCATGCTTTTAAAGGTGGGTGATATCTTTCTTTATATTAGCCTTGCTGAGTTTTTAAATGTTTGGGTTGTCTTGATTTATGCAGATTATAACAACTTTGTAATTATTTTGCTCTATTAAACTTTTTAGATGAAAGACTTAGAAGTTAGTGATATATATTTGGAAGTTTTGCATGCTAATATAAAATCTTTCCTAGTACTTATTTAGAAATGTGAGAACCATGTAGCACTATATGCCAAAATTATTATTATTATTTTGTGTTACTAGGGTTTCAGCTCAGGGCTTTGCACCTGTTAAGCAGGTACTTTAACACTAGAATCACACCTACAGTCCTTTTTGCTCTGTTTACTTTGGAGTAGGGTTTCACTTTTTGCCCAGACTGGCCTGGGCCACGATCCCCCTATTTTACGCTTCCCACCATAGCTGGGAACACAAGTGCACACCACTACATCCATCTTTTTTCCATTGAAATGGGGTCTCATAAAGTTTTTTGCCTGGGCTAGCCTGGAACCATGATTCTTCCCATCTCAGCCTCCCACATAGCTTGGGATAACAGATGTGTACCACTGTACCTAGCTGTTTATTGAGATGGGGTCTTGTGAACTTTTTGACTGATCTCAGCCTCCTGAGTAGCTAGGATTATAGGCATGAGCCACTGGGGCCTGGCAAAATTCTTTGTTTTGCAAAAATGTTTTCCAAATCTGATGTCCCTTTTGAGCCTAGCTTTTAAAAAATTTTTTTATCAGCATATATAATAGTTGTACAGGGGGATTCATTGTGATATTTACATATCTGCTTACAATATATCTTAGATTTACCCCCTCTATTGTTCTCCGTCTTCCCCTCCCTTCTTAGAACAATTTCAACAGGTTTCATTCTTCTATTTTCATTTGTGAATATAAAATACATCACCATATTCATACTCTCTCACCCTTTCTTTATACCCCCCAGAGAAGACCTATTTTACCCTCCTGTCTTCCCCCACCCTGCCCCTTTTTTAAAGTGTTATTGATAGTCCAAGAGGGTTTCAGTTCAGGCTTATATATATTTTGCTTTAATCGAATTAACCACCCTCTTACTTACTCTTGCTCTATCACCATGCTCCCCTAATATTCAACATCTTAGGTGCATCTTATTATATTATATTCATATACACGTGGATTGTTTCAATATTTTTCATTATCTAACATTTTCTTTTCCTTTCCTGCTTCCCTATTGTTTCGTCAGGCAGAGCCACTAATGTAATTTTCTTCTCCCTCTCACTGTATATATATGTGTGTGTGTGTATAAATATATACCTATGTATTTACGTATACATTTAACTAACAGGTCTGGCTTCCATATATGAGGAAAAACATGCGATCTTTAACTTTTTGAGCCTGTGAACCTGGTGTTTTTGCAGAAAGGTGGCTTTCTGCTTCTGTTTCTCTCTCCCTCCTCCATCCTCCCTCTCTCCCCTCCCCTTCCCCTCCTCCTTCTCTCTCTCTTTCTCCATCTTACAAAGTTAATGTGGATTACCTTCTTTTTTCTTTTTTGGTGTTGGTGAGGTTTGAACTCAGGGCTTCACACTTGCTAGGCAGGCGCTCTACCACTTGAGCCACTCCACCAGCTTCTTTTTTCTTTGTAAGATGAATAATGTAACCAAAATTCCTTTAGTAAGAAAAAAAAAAGTCAATCCATTCTACTTTTAGGACTTATGTTGTGTTTTGTATTTGTTTTTTAAAAATGTGGCAATCTGACGCTTTTTCCTTACTAGAGGAGCTTTTCTCTGATACTTGTGGCTCATAAATTTTCTTTAATTTTTGACTAAGAAATCTCTATTAACCTTAATTCAGGTAGCTATGAATAGAGCCCAAGTTTGTTTAATATCCAGTTCCAAGTCTGGAGAGAGGCATCTCTACCTTATTAAAGTATCAAGAGACAAAATATCAGACAACAGTGACCAAGAGACAGCGAATTATGATGCAAAAGGTAATTACTTCATTTTCTTTATTATATAAAACTTTGCTGAATTGAAAAAAGAAAGTCTAATTGAAAATTTTCAAATAAAATGAAGTTAATCTACATCTCTGAAGTATAATAAACTCATTTGATGTTGAAAGAAAAGGTTACCAGGTGCTACAGTGTGCTGATGTCAGTCTGATGTTCCTTTCCTGCAGCAGGTATTTCTCAGCTATGGAGCAGTTGTCTAAAGGCTTTTAAAAGAAGTCAGCTCTGTGTTTCCTGCTGAGTACATCTCACAAGCCTCTGTGTACTTAGCCTGAGGACTACGCAGAGTACAAAAGGCCACGCCCATTTCTCTGAAAATTCAAGGATTTAATTTATAACTTTGTATTCTTCCTACCTGAAGAAAGAAAAAAATTTTAACCCATTAAAAAAAAAGAAAAGGCAAAATTCAAACATTTAAAAAAATTAAAAGGAAAACATGAGCCTGGATTTTTCTGTGAAAAATGTAAAATAAAACTTGATTATCACCTTTGTAAAGAAGGAAAAATATGTTAAGAAATTTGTGGCCAGGCACGGTGGCTCATGCCTGTAATCTTAGCTGCTTGGAAGGTGGAGATCAGGAGAGTTATGGTTTGAGACCAGCTCAGGCAAAAAGTTCACAAGACCCTATCTCAACCAATAAAAAGCTGGGCATGATGGTTCTCACTTGTTATTCCAGCCATGCAGGAAGCATATTCGGAGGATTAGAATCAGGGCTAACCCAGGCAAAAATGTGAGACCCTATTAAAAAAATACCTAAAAGCAAAGAGAGCTCAAGTGGTAGAGTGCCTACCTTACAAATGCAAGGTCCTGAGTTCTAACCCTAATAGTGCCAAAGAAGAAAAAATGAAATTTGTGATTAGATGACAATACAGATTACTCATCCAGTCACTCCAATTACACATATTCCATTCTCTGTTAAATTCATTTTTGACAAATGTAGTAATAGTCATAGAAATGCTTTGAAGATAAGTTGCTGTGACCCAGTGTCATTTGGACTTCATAAGGCATCTACTTTTAGAATCAACTATGTTTGGGCAAGGTTATTCCTTAGAGAAAGAACTTTGGAAATGACGTAAGCTTTGGAGATGTCAGCCTGGCAAAAGATGATTTCATTGTTAATTCAACATTTATTATAGGTATTGGAGTCAGAGGAAGGGAGAAGGACTCAGCTGCTTGTAATGTGGCTATAAACACCTCGGAGAACTGCCAAAACTTATCTAGTTCATTGATTCTGAGTTTATTCTGGCAACTTCTGCCTCTTTATCATTTATTTTGGGCTATGCTTTCTTAAGTTACTTTTTCTCTGTATATGAGCCTATCTGTTCTTTTAGTGACTCCTCGGCTAAGGTTTATTGCTGGTTTTTCTTAGCCTTGTGAGGTTTTTTGATTTGCTAATTTCATCATGGTGTGGATCACAATCTACTGGCTTGCCAGCATTCATGAGCTAAGCCTTTTTATGTTACATGCAACTTTGTACTCTGTTCTCTTCATAGCTATATTTGAGGAATATGTAATGCTCTATTGAAGAGCAGTTCTGTAATTTAATCATTTCTTTATTATTTTTTGGTTTATGATTTCTTCTGATAATTTTCTTTTACAAATAGTAATGTATAAAGCATCTTCATACATTATATATTTATTCATATTTTGATTGTTCAGGATAATTTCCCAGAAGGAGAATTACTGGGTAAAAGACAGTTAAAATCGTCCTGATATTTTTCATGGTTATAAAAGGGAGGCTTCTTACAGAGAAACAAGGATGAGAAGATTAAAGGAAAAGAGAAATCTTAAAGCAGGGAAAAGAAAATTGAGATTAGGACAAGATTAAGAACAACCCGAGTCTTGAAAGTATGAATTTAAGTCATTTGCTGAGCACACATTGGACTAGCTTATGCATGCAGAATCCTCTATCTGATCACTCTTAAGGAAAGGACACTTGTTCTTTCCTGAATGGGGGGCATGTTTCCTAGCTAGCACTGAGAAATGCAAGTGGGGTTAGTTGCACTTTGTAGGGAACAAGTCAGAGAGATCACAGACTGTTAAGCAGACAGAGCACAAGGGAGTAGTACTGAAGCAGTGTAAACATGTCACTAACCTCTTTATGTCTCTGTCAGGACAACCATGAGCAAGAATCTAGGCCTGTGGTTCTGTGTTTATTAAGCTTGTCTTAAAATTGATCATGTGAGTTAGAAAAACCAATAGTGCTGTTTCTGGAAATACAGTGTCCTAACTGGTTTTTATTGATCTCATTTTAGCAATATTTGCTGTTCTTACAAGTGTCTTGCCGAAAGATGACTGGTGGAACCTTCTTTTGAAGGCCATATACACTCTATGTGACCTATGCCGATACGAAGAAGCTGAGTTACTTGTAGATTCTTCATTGGAATATTATTCATTTTATGATGACAGACAGAAACGCAAAGAACTAGAATACTTTGGTCTGTCTGCTGCGATTCTGGACAAAAATTTCAGAAAGGCATACAACTATATCAGGTGACTTCATAACAATTTACTTAGATTCTTTAATAGAGTATGTACATTTACCTGACTTAATTCTCATACTCAAGAATTAATAAAGGGAGTTGCAGGGTGGAGGCGGAGGCAATCTAGCCAATGTACAGTGTAAGGCTATTGGGAATTGGCACAGTGAATTCCCCCCACCCCCGTACAAATATATATCCTAATAAAAATGAAAAAAAGAAAAAAACAGATGCTGCTAGAATAAAAAAAAGGATTAATAAGCTATTTTCTCTATTTAGCTATTTTACTGGATCAGTTCAGTGGTGATTCTAAGAGGCAGCATTTGAGAGCATGGCCTCTAGAGCTGGATTTCCTGGGTTCACATCCCTGTCCTGACACTTGACCCGCTGTGACTTTAGGCTTGTTACTTAACCTCTTGTGCCTCAGCTTCTCACTTGTAAGAGGACATCATAGTATTATTACAAGGGTTAAATGAGTTATCATATATAAAACCTTTGAACAATTAGTTTTTAGCACACATTATTCATTGTTTAGTGCTTGTTGCACTGTAGCGATAGTGGGCAAGGAGAGAAAGCAACACTTAAGCCATTTCATTCTGTTTTTTGGTTTAAAAGTTTTGTTGAAAATCAGAAAAAGATGTAGAAGTACTAAAGTAGCATTTTCTAGAAAATCTTCTGTTGCTTAAATAGATTGAGGCAGTCTGCTTTTCCTTGGTGGGGGGAGGTGCATTTCAGTGTTGGAAGGGCAGCACTGAAGGGTTTCATTCTTACAAATGAAGTTTCTCTTTACATTGTTTTCCCCTCATTCACTTTCTGCAATTGTAGGATAATGGTCATGGAAAATGTGAATAAACCCCAGCTGTGGAATATTTTCAATCAAGTTACCATGCACTCCCAAGATGTCCGACATCATCGCTTCTGTCTCCGTCTGATGCTTAAAAACCCAGATAATCATGCCCTGTGTGTTTTAAACGGACACAATGCATTCGTATCTGGTAGCTTTAAGCATGCACTTGGTAAGTGACCTGGCACATGACTCTGTTAGGCCTACATAGTGTAGTGGGTATGGCATACCTCAGCAGAACTTCCTGGATTTAAATACCATCTCCGCCTTAGCAAATTATTCTGTCTCCCTCTGCTCAGTTTTTTATCTCGAAAACAGGGATAATTGGATCTTTGATATAGGTTATTGTGAAAATTAAATGACGTAACATAAAGTATTTAAAACAATGCCTGATAAATACAGTAAGTGGCTCTAAATTTTAGCAATCACAATAGTAATGTTACTCTTACTCAACTTTGGTTTTAAAAGGTAAAGTAGAACTTATAATTCATTTTAAAGGTCAACAGTTCTCCCTGCTTAGGCTTGTTTGTAAAATTATTTTTATTAATTATGGAGGCTTTGCTACCAGATTTTAGTTTATTATAGTGCAAAAAGGGATTTGAGATTTACTGATGGTTATTCTTTTAGGAGGCAAGTTTTTATATCAAGATTTATTGATATGGTGTTCATAAATTCTAATTAAATTAAAGGAAAATGCATTAAGTATTTGCACTAAGAAATTTCTATAATAAAGAATTACAAAGAGAGCATTGACAGAGGTGACTCCATTTTGGATGACAGAGGCACTTTAGAAGCAGACGTGTAAAGGGGGCATGGGAAACAACAGATTTTTCACAGAAATAACGAGTCTCTAACCAAAATAGCAGAATGCAGCTACAAGATATGGGCCCCAAGGCCAGGACGAGCTGCCCAGACCTTCTTGGAATGATCAATTCAATAAAGAGAGGGACAGACAGGTAACTGAGTCAGCTTCTCACCGAACTCTGCACCAACCAATCTAATATGGTTTCAACGTAAAATAGTTGGACCCAAGCCTGTTAGTGCCCTCCGTCATCTCCTAGACTTCAGCCATTGTTTGACTTAGCTCTTTCAGTAAGTTCTACCCGCCTGGGTGCTTTGCTATTCTTTCAATAAACTTTGTGCTTGCTTTACTCTTAACTCCTGGACTGGCATTTTTAATCATTGACTATGCCAGGACATGAACTTGGGATCAAAAATCCAGTCTCAGAATCAGAACCAAATAAGGAGGAAAATATCTAGCCAATTGTTTAAGCTTAAAATGAGGCATGTATTCTGCTACCTGAAAGCTAGTGTTTCCCAGTTCTTTTCTGAATAAACTGACTTTGGTCATTTAATACTTTCATGTTTCTTTGTGTATGACTGGTATTTTATAATTGTTTATCCAGTAACCTCAAACATCAGATGTTGAAACTTTCCTCTAGTATGTTTGCTTTTTTGTAATTGTCAATTGAATATTTAGAAAATATAAATTGAGGCTTATTTTATTTTCTTGTTTTACAAACTTTTACAGAAGGAAAAAATAAAAAGTACAGTTGACAAAATGGTAGTCTGCCTTCTTTGCTGGTATAGAAACCCTTTGGCGCCATTGCTTTTAGAATAGAAGCTGGAAGGAATAAATGTTTTTATCTGTGTGACAAATGACAGATACTCCTTTATTTGAAACATTTTCTTAGATTCTCCTACCTCATTTGATTGGCTTTTGACATGAGATAATTGCGTAGAATACAAAGAATTTATAAAATCCTGAATTATTAGTGCATTTAGCTTTTTGAGAGAAATGAACTAGTTGCTATATTTAAGAAAACAATACCCATGGTCTAAAAAAACAAAGCTGTTTTTCTTTTTCTCATATCTATGATTATTCATATTTAGATTTATAATTTTACAAAATAATTTGGTAAAGCCAGCTACGGTGACACACACTTGTAACCCTAGTACTCAGAAGGATAAGGCAGGAAGTTTATGAGTTCAAAGCCAGCCTGGGCTACATGGTGAGACCCTGTCTGAAAAAAACAATGGCTGGGGATATAGCTCAGTGGTAGAGTGCTTGCTTAGCATAGGCAAGGCCCTGGGTTTGTTCGCCAGCACTTAAAAGACTTATTCCAAATTCTCTTATGTTTTAAAAAATAGATTAAGATCATAAAATAGGTTTATGGTCACATAGAAATATCTAGTTGTACCTAAAAGAACATTTCTTTTATTTACTCATATTAATCTTCATGATCAAGATACATTTATCAGGATTGGAAGACTGGCTGAAGTGGTAGCACAAATCCCTTAGTTCACCCCGCAATCCAAAAAAAAAACTAAAAAATACTTTTATGAGAACTTCTGATTGCATTCTGTGTTACATATTACTTTAAATTAAAACAATGTGCACTTCATAATGGCACATAAGATGGAATGTGTAGTTTGTACATATTAAAATTAGTAATGTTTGGCTTTAAAATATATTTGAATAAGTAATGAGGAAATAAAGAACTACTCCCATGCCATCTGATCCCACTGCTCATTTTCCAGGACAGTACGTGCAAGCCTTTCGTGCCTATCCCAATGAACCTCTCTATAACCTCTGCATAGGCCTAACCTTTTTTCACATGGCATCTCAGAAGTATGTGTTGAAGAGACATGCTCTTATTGTGCAGGTAATTCATTTGGATTTCTCATTGCATTTTATGTTCCTTGAACGTGAATATATTTAATGCTTTCTGACATCCTGTTTCAAAAGTAATACCTGTTTGGTATACATGTTGGGAATATTCAACCCTTATTCTTGTGTTCATCCCTTGTGAAACTCAGCATATAGTTGTACTCATGGTTAAGACTTACTATAGCAATGTTGTGAGGACACAACCCGGTCATAGGGGGAAAGACATAGGCAGAATGTACGGGGATTTACATGCAGGCTCCCTTCTGTTCTGGAGCCCTGATGTCTCCAGCTATCGTAGGTCTTGAAGATTCATTTCATTTAAATTAGTTTTTTTTAAGTGTGTGTGTGTGTGTGTGTGTGTGTGTGTGAGTGTGAGAGAGAGAGAGAGAGAGAGATACAATGAGTGTTGTATCCTTGTACCATTACCAGCAATTTTCTTTTTTTTAGAGCTAGGGATTGAACTCAGGGCCTTACACCTGCTAGACAGGTGCTCTACCACTTAATACACGATCCTAGCCCAGCACGTACAGCTAAATGGTAGAGCACTTGCCTAGTCTGCACAAAGCCCCAGTACTGTGAAAAACAAAAACAAAATCCCCAAATTCCTGTCTTGGTTGTTATAACAATTCAAGATTATGCCTTTGGCCTTTGTTTTATTGTTTACTTTAGCAAAAGAGCTTGTCCCCTCTAATAATATAAACTCCAAGAGCTCAGAGATCTTGTTAGTGTTGTTCACTCCTATATCTTTAATACTTTCGCTTTATGATTTCATTATTTTATGTTTGATGTATCCAAAATATGATAGGATGTAATAATGTATACTGTGTTCTTTTAGAACAGGACTGTGTCTATGTTTTTAATATTTATATTTCCAGCACATACAGTAGTTCAGTACATACTAACAATGAGTGAAGTATTGAATTGTCTTTTTCTTTTCTGTAGGGCTTTTCCTTCCTTAATCGATACCTCACTATACGTGGGCCTTGCCAGGAATCATTCTATAATTTGGGCCGTGGCCTTCATCAACTAGGGCTGACTCACCTTGCAATCCACTATTACCAAAAGGCCCTGGAGCTCCCTCCACTTGTGGTAGAGGTATTTATTGTATAGTTCGCTTTAAAACTGAGGAGTCATTTTATCTGTAGATAAGTGCAGTGTGCTAAGTATTGTGATCCAGAAAATGAAATAAATTATAGCTTGTATATTAAAATGTATTTTTTGGTGCAAATGTGGTGACACATACCTATGACTGAGGCAGGAGGATTGCAAGCTCAAGGCTAGCCTGGCTACCTAATGACATCCTGCCTCAAAAAAACACAGTATTTTTCCCTAATTCAATGCATTTATGTAACTATGTTCAGCAACAGGGAGATCTTTGACATTCTAGCCTTATGACCTAATCAGCAACGATGTGAATATGTACAGCTTATGGCTATGGCCCTCCTTCAGTTGCCCTAAGACAGTTCCTATGCTTTACAGATAGGCATTGGTAGTCAAGAAGCCTGAGTACTGAGTAATGTAGCCATTCTTCATTTTCATGTTCAAGTACCAGGTAACGCTAGTACTCTGAAGTCCTGTGCTCTCTAACAGCACACACTAACACAGGTACCCCCGAAGCCAAAAAGATTGGGGTAGGAGCTTGGTGCAGAAAGAGCAGAGCTGGACCTAGAGGGGCTTAAATTACAGCCTTGGGGCTCCACAAGGTCAGGGATCCTGGAAAGGGTCAGCCTGCCTCTCCTGCATTCCTCAACGGGTCTTGGAACTGTCAGCACTCTCCTTTGAGTCCCTTCATTGGCCACTTCAGCTGACCAAGAACAAAATTGAGTTTAACAATCTTAATAGGCTTAATTTTTTATTCTAAAATCAGGTAATACTTTATTCCATGAAATAGATTGTTTCTTACAGTTTCTAGGCTTTGGGGCAGGGGAGTTGGTTGGTTTTTTTTGTGTAAGCCCACTTACTTTGTAGCTCAGACTGGCCTGGAACTTGAAATTCTTCTGCCTTGGCCTCCTAAGTGCTGGGATTACAGGTGTGCGCCACCATGCCTGTGTTTAGTTTCTAGTGCTGCTGTTACATATAGAAGAGTCTTTCCCAAGATTATATTACTCAACTGTATTTTCTTTACTTTTATGGGTTTTTTTTTAACTCTTAATTCATCAGAAGTTTAGTCTGTTGTGGCTTGTTGGTGAGACATTTTCTATAACTTACTGGCTAGACATTTTAAAGTATTTGATTGAACTGCTACTACAGTGATTAACTGTATCAGCATTGGTTTAAGGTATAATTATTTTTAGTATTATGTAAATTTCAGTGGCTTTTGAAAACTTACAGAACTATTTGCCATAAATTACCCTGGTTGGCAGTTTGGAATATAAACATATTTATGTCTTTTTTTTCTCCTAGGGTATAGAAGTTGACCAGTTAGACTTGCGAAGAGATATTGCCTACAACTTGTCACTTATTTATCAGGGCAGCGGGAATACTGAAATGGCTCAAAAGCTTTTATATACTTATTGTGCTATATGAACACCTCAGTTGCTTCACTGTTCTAAACTCCAAAATGGAAATAATTAGTATTATCCCACAGTGAATTTCACTTTTTAAAACTGCCCCCATCACTGCCAGTTACCTTCAAAACTGCAGCTTTGGGCTGGGGGGTGTGGCTTGGGTAGAATTCTTGACTGGCATGCACAAGGCCCATGGGTTCATTCCCAGCACTGTAAAACAAGTAAACAAGAACAAAACCCAAAACTGTAGTTTTTATCTTTTGGTATACCTGTATATTGTTCTGTCATTTCCTTTTAACATTCTGTGCTAAAATTATCTCCAGGGTGAAATAGACTATAATAGCCTCTCAGCCAGTTTGGAGTTGAACATATCATTCGTCCAACTCACGTGTGCTGCAGAGTAGAACGAACACCTGTGTGCCTGTACTTTGGTAGGTGCTGGAAACGTAGGAGACAGACAGATGTGGTCTGTACCTGTGGCAGGTCCAGAGTACATTACTGACTATGGAGATGATTACCCCTGAATACAGTTCTTTAAACACAGAACATTAGCATATATTTTTCTGAAAGAAATGTTTGTTTTGTACATCATTGTTGTCCATTCACTTCTTAGCGCCTCATTCCTATTTTCAACAGCACCTAACAAAATTAAAAGTTGTCATGTGGTAGGAAGACAAATAATTGATGTAATCTTTCACTCTTCCCCTCATATCTTAGTTACATACACTGTGAGGCTTGTACCTGGGCTTAATTCAAACCATACTGCTCCAAGGTAAATACAAAAATGCATTATCCATATCCAAAAATAAAAAGTAGAATTGTGCTCAATAACATGACATGGTTTCCATTTCAAGGTCACTAGGACTGTAGGAAAGATTGGGGAGGTTGGATTAATGTAATAAAGTATTGCTGATAAAATTTAAAAAGATTAAGACCTTTACTCACCTCAAAACACTGTATGTTCTTGAATCTAAGATAAAAATACTCGCTAGGTATACTACTGGTTTGATAACATTTTTAGGGGAAAATAAATGCTATATTGTGTATATAATTATAACAGTCCAGTTGTGGGAAAGAAACAAGTATGAGACTTAGGATCAAAGAAATATAGTGGAGGCCTTTTAGGAATTCTTGCCACAGTTTGTACTGTGTACACACTTTCTTATTGAGAAGCAGAATTTGTATGTAATAAATATTTGTATCATGTATTCTGTATATATCGGTAACTTAAATAAATTCTATTTTTGTAATTGAGGTATCATATGCTTATGTATTTATTGCATTTCCTGCTTATGTATTTATTTCATTGACAGGTAATAAAATGTAGAGTAGTGAGTTAGATTTATGTCTTGGAATCCATGGATCTGAGCAGTGTATGTTCAGTTTCTCTCCTGAATTAAGCTCACTGGACTGAGATGGAGTAAAGACATATTAGAATTCTATCATGCCTAGACACTTACTTACATCATCACTTAACAAAATGATTTAAAATGGTTATGTGGAGGAAAGACAGGTAAGTGACTTAATCCTTTTCACCTGCATGTGTGTTGGCTCCCAGACTGTGAGACTGAGAAGCTGGGCTTTACTGTGTGCTAAGCAGCTTTGGAGGGAAAAATAAGCCTAATGATTTTCTAAGAAAAAAACTAAATTAGCTAAGGTTGTTTAACGTTTAAAATCACAGCTAGGACTTGCTGAGTGTTTACTGTGCTAAGAATACTCTTGGATGCGTTTGATACATTATTTCTGGTTTTCTGAGAGCCACTTGGTTTCATCATCTCTGTCTGAGGCACAGAGACTAAAACATGTTGAGGATCACTAGCAAGCTAGCCCGTGTTCAGAGTTTCCTTCAGAGGAACACACTTGTTCCGGTTCTGAGCAATAACTTAAAAACATGAGTGTGAGGCGGGCATGGTGGTACACACCTGTAATCCCAGTACTTGGGAGGTGGTGGCAGTAGGATTGGAAGTTTGAGGCCAGCCTGAGCTACACGTGAAACCCTGTCTCAAAAAAAAAATTTAAAACTTGAGTGTGAGAGTGATTCTTGGTTGTGTAGAATAAATGGCATCTCCCTTTTTTTAATCTAGCTCTATGGCATGGTCCCCTAACTCTGACCCTCACTCATAATCTCTCCCATCGTTGGCATCCTCAGGCTACTGTTAACATTCTTTGCTCACACTTCCTTCTTTCCTGGAAATGGCCCCCCATAAAGGCCACATTCTCCCAGCCACTGCTAACTGACCCTGACTCAAGTTGAGCTGATCACATTCTCAGTTTGAAACCAGGCTTAGAGATGATGAAATGTCTCTAAAACGAAGTTACACTCACAGTAGTACATTAAGGAAGGGGTTGACAAAATCCTGCTGCTGAGGTCCTTGGAGCAACTTCCCAAGACCTCGAGGTAGGCAAGCATTCTACCACTGAGCCACACCCCGCCCCCGACCTCACGTGAATTCTTTATCCATTCTCCTCAAGAAAACTCCATTTCCTTCTAATAGATGCTCATTATTTCTCTCCCCGCCTCAGGAGAAGGCTAGGCAGGCCCTCTCCTGCTTGAGTCAAGCCTCCAGTTCATTTTTCAATAGGGTCTTGCATTTTTGCCTAAGGACAGCCACAGATCTTAATCCTTCTGCCTATGCCTCCTGTGTAGCCGGGATTAGAGTCGTGCACCACCAGGCTCAGCCTTTCACACCAATAGATTCTTGTGAGTGACACCTGTGAATGGAAAAGGGTGGAGACGGCTTGGGGCTGAACGGGACTGGAGGAAGGGTGCTTGCTGGAGGAATCCTATGGTGATGGACATGCAGCATCTTTGTATATATAAAGATACGACACTCAAGATCAAAGAGAATAGTAGAGGAAGTCACAGATGACAGAGCAAACTGATTCAAGGCCTTAAAGCTGGTGCATTAGAGTATCAGTTCCCTCAAAGACAGAGGAGGAGGGGTTAAAAATAGGCGGGGTTAAAAGCAGAGGAAAATCTGTTAAGGAACAGTGAGACCCTCCACATTACTCTCTTCACCTGGAGCAAGTGACTGCATCCCCACTCCACCTGTGAAACCTGGTGGTTTATTTTCTGAGTGGCTGGATCAAGACCTCTGGTTTTAGGGATAGCAGGCATAGACTAAGACCAGAGTGTTCTACTGAGAGCAGAGGATCATGTGACAGTCTACACTAAACAGCCAGGTGCTCAGCCTCCTTTCATGTAATTCGTGCAAACAGGAAATTAATGGGTTCCTCTCCGAGGAAAACTGTCTCCCCTCCCCCAAAAATGCCTGTAGAGACTAACAGTTGAGGGTTTTCTAATAAAATGGCCAGCTTTGGCCAGGAAACCTGCCAAAGAACAAACACTGCCACTGAGTCTCTGCTTATTGGTACCTTGGTATTAGCTCTTAGCATGAATGGATGGTTCATGAGTGTTAGACATTTGAGGAAAGGTTCTAGAGTGAAAGTGATACCTATAAGCAAATGTGGGTAGGGTGGTTACAGAGCTAATGCAGGAAGTAAAAGACCCTATCACAAAAACAAGTGGGGCATGATGGTACAAATCTGTAATACTAGCTACTTGGGAGGCAGAGATAGGAGGATTGTGATTTGAGGCTGACTTTGAGCAAAACAGTGAGACTGTCTGAAAAGCAAACTAAAAGCAAAAGGACGGGGTACATGTCTCAAGTGGTAGAGCGCTTGCCTAGCAAGCACAGGCCCTGGGTCCAATCCCACCACCACACATGCACAGAATGAAAGCCTCATGAGATTAAACATGTAACAGCCATAGTCAAGTCAATGAAGAGATGGGGAAATAGATTTTTAAAAGAAAATGGAAAATTAAAGAGATGAAAAAAATCTCAGATGAAAAATTAAAGGTAACAGTATGGCTTTTTTGTTTTGTTGACAGAGGGTTTTGAACTCAGGGCATTGCACTTGGTAGGCAGACACTCTACCACCTGAGCCATGCCACCAGCCCTTTTCATGTTAGTTATTTTTGGCATAAGATCTTGTGTTTGTGCCTGGACCACAATCTCTCTACTTATGTTTCCCATGTAGCTGGGATGACAGGCACACGCCACTACACTCAGTTGAGATGGGGTCTCGCTAACTCTCCCCCTCCCCCAGGGTTGGCCTTAAACCATCATCCTCCTGGTCTCTGTTTCTCGAATAACTGGGATTACAGGCATAAGTCACTGTGTTGGCCTCTGAAGTATAATTTTGTTACCATTTCTTATATTTCATTTATGATTTAAGATATCTGTCACTTGATTGTAAATAATTCTAGTAGGAGGAACATACTTCTGAGAGGATTTTTATATGCAGTAGATGGCAGTACATTTCTATACATTTAGAAATAATTTCATTGTCTTAATATACCATTTTAATTTGAACATTTAAAAAAAATTAAACTTAATTTTTTATTTGGACAGAACAAGTTCCATTATCCCTTCCACATCTGCACAATCATATTGAAAAAGTGTTGTCTCTTTGCACTGCTCATCACCATGGAAGGACACTGGAGCCCTAATACATGTTTCTTGCTGCCCACTTTTCAGCCTTGACCAAAAAAAAAAGGGGGGTGGTTAGCAGATATCAAGATAACCACATCACATACGAAAAGTCTAATTGTGACCCGGAAGATCATACACCAGGTTTATCCCGCTTGCAGCATACAGCGGGCATAGCAGGACCACTTGGCATTTTAGTAAAGACAGTCAGGTGTTTGTGTCCAGAGAAGGGCGTTTGGGGAAGTGTAGAGAAGGGAAAGTGACGAACACACACCTCTGCTCTACGATCTGCAGCGGCGTGAAAGAGGACAGGCGGAAGTCAACCCTGCTACAGTTAATTCTGAGCATGCTGGTTTTCGTTCCTCTTTCTAAGGCTAGGCAGTGTTGTAGACAGTTCTTGTAACCACATGCTTTATGAACTTGGTTCCGTCTTGTTTGTACAAAGATGCCGGGTGAGGGCTGTGTGAGGCACGATTCTGCATATTTCACGAGCTGCTCTTACCTGACCGGAGAAGAAGGGAATGGAAGCGAATCTGACCACTATGGGGAGCACAGGATTCATGGAAGTCCCAGCTTTCCAGGCTTTGGGCTGGGAGCAGGCTGGGATCTGTCAGGCCGTGGGGAAGCCAGCAGATCCCAGAGCAGCAGTGGGCCTTATTTTATACATAGTGCCTCTGGTCACATCATGCAGCAGACTGGAAAGCATTACCTCCAAGTCCCAGGTTAAAGCCAGCTTTGGAATGAGCAAAGAGTTGTTTTTCTAGGAGATTATCAAAGCCTAAAATATCCTGAAAATTTCAATAGTGTTAAGTGACAGGCTAGGTTTCCCCTCCCCCCATTTAAATTTGTTTTCTCTTCCCATCTCCACTCTTTTTTCTAGAAGGTGTCTTGGGTAAGTCAAGGGATAAAAGACAGACAAGGAAATGTTAACAGTCCTGATGCAAATGCCAGTCGAAATTAACAATAGAGACACCTGTTTGAGTCTTGCAGATGGCTCATAAAAGAGGCCTAAAGTTTTCTTCCAAGGATGCATAGAAATGGTAGGGTCATAGTTACTTTTTCCAGGGGGAAAAAGAAAAGAGCTGTGCACATCTCTGAATGTATGTAGCCAGAATTATGGCATTGGGTATATGTATTCTAATACACTACTGCCAAATTGCCCTCCCAAAGGACTGTCCTCCCAATTCTGTAAGGACACGTGTTTCCCCATGTCTGCTTCAAATTTGATATTTCTCCCTGACTGATAGGTAAAGAATGATTGTTTCATTTGTGTAGTGGTAAGGTCGAAATCTATCTCTTCATGCATTTATCTTCTCTTAAGTCATATTCTTTTCCTACTTTCTAAAAATTTGACTCCTACTTTTCTTATTGAATAGTTGGCATTCTTTACTTCGTATACTACTAAGCCTTGTACTTGTGTTTTCACTTGATTTATGGTCTCTTTTTGTTAAATTTAGAATTTTGGTATAAGCAAACATACCAATCTGAGTGATTTTTTTTTTCATTATGGCCAACATAAAACTTCAAAATAAAGTTGAATTGTGAGCCAAGATTGTAGGTTAGAAGCAAGCAGCACTTTCCAGCTTCTCAGCAGCAAGAAATTGAAATAACCAGAAAACAGCTCTTCACAGAGGAAAATGCACTGAAGTTTAATGTTGGACAGATGGAGGTGTGCATAGACCCAGAAACTCTGGTTATCACCACAGAGGTGAGAAAGAGTGCTTCAGCACTAAGTCTAGGGTGGCCCAGGCAGAGGGC